GACTGATTCCGACGTCCGGATGGCGCCTCCGGGTTACACACTACACGTTTCGGTTCGCCGTTTGTGTTAACATGGCTGTCTGTCGTGAATGTGTGTATTTGGCCGTATAGAATCTATATAATTAGACTGTTGCTGGCGCAGTCCAATGCCGGGTGTCGAACCCGAGCGCGCGTGACCGCTTGGTCCCCGCGTCGGTCGGCGGGGCACTCACTGGCGCACTGCACAGGGCCACCCCGGCCCCGCGGCGCCCCCCGGGTCGCGGCTTGTGGCGTTCGTTAGCCTTCCCTTCCTGCCACCCGGCTGAAACTCGATCCGTCTTTGTGTGGGCCGGATACGATTCCATTTTTATGCGACTTGGCAGGGCGCCGTCATACGTACTCCTCCCCGTCCGGGGCCGCGGGCTTCGCGGCCGTACCCGCATCGAGCTCTGGGCAGCCGTCGGGAAGGTGGAGGAGGAGGGGGAGGAGGATCTGGCACACAGGGCCGGCAGCAGATGTGGGCTTACCCTTGGCCCAAGGCTGCCTCCGCTGCGGCCGGGACTGACTCGCTGGACATACCATCACCACCTGCTATGCAGCGCGCAGCACGCCGCCTCGGCTCTGCTCGCGGTTGTGCATGGGTGGAATCCATTTCGGCCAGGGGCGAGGCGGGCGCGGGGCCGGAGCCAGGGCCCCGCCGCCCGCCCCTCTGGGCCCGCCGCGTGCTCTTCGGAGTGGAGGCGTGTCCAAGCCGCGTCACCGTCGTACATTGTCCGCATCCGCGAGGGAAGAGGGGCGAGAGGGGGCGCCCACCGGTGCGGATGAGCACTATAGCGTGGAGGGGCCATCAAACTTGCCATCAACGGGATGTGCGCACATGCTATACGACATGGTTATCGTATACGCGACTTCACACTACTGAAAAGAAGAGATAAACACTTTTAGCGGATTAGAAGACATGACTAGGGAAGACCTTTCCAAGGACGTAAAAATTTTACATCCTAGAAAAGGCAGCCCTTCCTCTGTTTTTCCAGTGTGGCGGAAGATCTCGGTAAAAAGGGATCCACGTCACTCGAGTCCCTGGGATGCCTCGCTGTCCCCTACACGCCGTCGAGTCATCGTCGCCCGACCAACAACATGGGGGAGCTGCTGCGGGGAAAACTTCCGACGTTGTGTCTGCGCCGCGGGGTGGGAGTCAACAGGACTACTGGAACTCGCCGCCGATGACGACGAGCCTAACCTCTAAAATGATTGTTTTTGCCGGCGGCGCTCGCGGGCCGCGCTGCGCGGGCTCGTGTGCTTTACGCTTGTTGTCGTGGCGGGCGGCACACAGGGCGGCGGCGGCCCGGCTGATTGCTGATCACCGGACGCCTGACAGGCGGGAGGGAGAGGACAGGCTGCCGCTGCATATCGTGACCGCCACCTGGCGCGCGGCGGCGGCGGCGGCGCTGCGCGGTGCTGTCTGGTCCGCGGCCCGTATTTGGGTGAAGGCCATCCCGTAATGACATCTGCCGCCCAAGTGCATCCCGCGAGCGCCATCCGCGAAAATACCGTCGCGGGTAGCGAGAGACTCGTCTCCTCGGCGGCGGCGCGGCGCGGGCGGCCGTGGCGACCAACGCGACCAGGCCGGGCCAGGGTTAGCGGAGGAGGGCCGGAACCGGTAGGGTGGGTCGGGTCGGGGTGGGTCAGGCGCGGCGGGCGCGGCGCTGTCGCGGTGCGGTGTCCTCCCGCGGCCGGGCCGGGCCACACGGCGGCAGCCGGTGTCAACGTGATGAATGCGTCGATCGAGCGCCGCGAAGGCTGTGCCATTCCACTGTCGCGCTGGCGTGGCGTCGCTGGCGGCAGCATCCGCCGCGCGCCGTGTCGCGCCGCCGCGTCCTCCCTCGAGATGTGGATGAGCCGCGCCGGGGAAGTTTTGGACGTCTTTTTGCGTCCTTCTTGACGGACATCGTCAGCCATGGCTACAAAAACAAGCGCGACTAGGAGTCGGCGCCGGCGGCGTGTCCTGCCCGTCCTGCAGCGTCCGGCCGACAAGGCCGGCGGCCCCGGCGGCCAGCACCCTCTCCTCCGACCTGGTCTATCGCGGACCGGTATGTAAAAGCGTCTGCTGGGCAGGTCCTGCGCGAGGCAGTCCTGTACGGCGGGGTCCTGCATGAGCCGGTCCTCGCAGTGCGCGAGATCCTGCTCGAGGAGGTCCTGCTCGAGAAGGTCGCGATCGAGGCGGGCGTGCTTGAACAGATCTGCTGCACGAGGTCCTGCTGCATGGCGAGGTCTTCTTCGAGGAGGTTCTGCTCGAAGTGGGCCCACACGAGCAGATCCGCTGACCAAGGGGACCCTGCTCGAGGAGGTCGTGCTCGGGCAGGTGGCGATAGGTAGGCTCACACGAGCAGATCTGCTGCACGAGGAGGGCCTTCTGCATGGCGATGATGTCCTGCATGGGCGCCCTGCTGAAGGACGGCGGCGACGCCTGACACCTCACACACATGTACGCGAGCCAAGGCGGCGCCTTTCTATGGTAATGCGGTGAGGCGCCCCGACGTGTACCCGCCGACGCGTGGGGGCCGGGCGGGCAGGGAGGAGGGGAGGAAGGGCGTTAATGTTGTGCTGTTTTAATAACTATCCAAGCAGCCTGTTCTAAAGTGGCGCCCGTGGGATAAAGGGGGGG